AAAAACGTGTATATATATAAATGTGAGGAAAAACGTGATTATGAAATTTGGAAAAAAATGCTTTACTTGGGATCGCTCTTCGTGACAGATGACAGTGTCATGGCCGGATGTCAGATGCATGGAACCTACCGATCGGTTTGCCATTCAAGTCCTCTAAGTCCTACAAAGCATTGCCTACCTTTCGCAGAGCACGACACTTGATGTATTTCGTCAAAAACTTAGCATTTATGCCTTGCTTAAAATTGCTAAGAGCGAAGTCCTTCCGGAACACTTCTTGTCCTTCCCGGTAATTCACAACCCTCGTACGTCAGTTGTACGTGTTGGCTGCTCTGTCTTGCGCTTGCTCAAGGTTCTTCTTGTAATCGGGACTTCGTCTTGTCTTAGGCTACCAAGTTTCTTCAGGATAGGCTGACGCATGTTGTATCATGTTTTGTCCAAATAATGAGTATAACCCCGTCTTAATGTTAACAACCCCGTAGTTTTCAAAAAACTGCTGCATCTCCTTCGAAATAAAATGCTTCCCGTTATCATTATGGACAAATTGAGGGACCCCGAAAGCTGGAAAAATTTCTGTGCTAAAGGAGCTAATTACATTTGCCGACGTCGCGTTTTGCATGGCCTTCAAAAATACGTATTTGGAAAAATGGTCTAGCACTATAAATAAAAACTGGTTTCTTTGATTTGATTCTGGATATGGACCAAAAAAAACATAATAAAGACGCTGGAATGGGCTCTCGGATATGAAGGCATTGTCCATAAGTGCTCTGGACACTTGATTTGTGGCTTTCACAGCTTTGCAGGTTTCACTTCGGTTCACATAGAAGCGTATGTCCTTTGCCATTTGCGGCCAAATATATTTCTGCCGAACACGCTCTAAAGTTTTCTGCCAATCTCCATGGTAACTAGCATTGGAATCGTGTGAGAATTTGATTGCGAGCTCCGTCAGCCCTTCTGGTAACCACAAACGCCAGTACTAATCCTGTTCCTCTTCCACACCTCTTCGAAACATCACTCTTTTGTAAACTATATTGTCGACTATGCGTAGATCGGGTAGCCTTTCGTAATTGTTTTCAATTGTTTCACGAAGCTCCGAGTACTCTACACCGTCGAATTCCGGTGATGCCAAGTAAACGAAACTGTGTACAGAATTTTTGTATAGCGCATCCCCATATCGAGCCGCAGTTATCCCCAAAAAATCCCCATTTTTCCTCTAAATCCCCATTTAAATCCCCTTAAGTAAGAAATAAAAAAATATGTATTCTCATTTCTGTTAGTTCATTTTAATTACAGTTTTGAATACTTTTCTATTACAAATTACACAGTAGTGTACATATATATGAGATCATTTGGTTATTTACGTATGGCGGTTTCTTATTTTTTATGGTTTTTGGAGACTATTTAACAACATACCTTCGGCCCAAGGTTCCTATTCCCATTGCTGTCTGTAAGTTCGTCAAATTTTTTTTGTGCGCTTGCCACTTTGTAAAATTCATTTTACACTAAGGAAATCAGAAATATATGCAGTCCATTCGGTGAATGCCAATCATAGCGATCCTTTTACAATTTGGTGTATTGAAGTGAGAGAAAATTGTGTGTTCAGCGAAAGCCAATTAAAACAGGCATTTGCCACGAATAATGTTTTGACAAAGAAAATCTTTGTTTGAGAAATTTTTAAGGGCAGGCAGTAAAATATATGTATTTTAATTTCAATATGAATATTTTAAACAAAACAAAAATCCACATCAAATCCACATATCCCCAAACGAAAAAATCTATCCCCAAATGGTTTCAGAAATCCCCAAAATGGGGCGAAATCCGCACATCTGGCACCACTAACTGTGTAACTGTGCGGAAGCAAAATAACTTCGCTCGTGAAAACTGATTAATACTGATATTAAAAGTTGGTATCAAAGACCTAAAATTTTGCCTTTTCAATTCTTAAGGGGTTTCTCTGCATTTTGAGCAAATAATAGTGCGAAAAATTTGTTTCCGAGGGTGACGCGTTTTCTTATTGCCGGCAACAAAAATTGTTTGGTAGGAAAAGATTGCACATACACACGCACCCACACGCTAGGAAGCCGATTTCGTCAAGAGGGAACGAGAAAACTGTTTTCTGAGCAGACTTTTTATTGGGCCGTTTCACACGGTCAGTATTTATTGACAGGATCCAAGTATCGCGATATTTATTGACGATGTAGCATGCAATATTGATGGATCGCGATCCATGTCGCAAAATTTCTAAAAATTTGGAAATATAGATTGCGGATCACAAAACCGTCAATAAATATTGAACCTGCAGCATTTTCAAAACGCGATCCATACATTTCGTCAGTACATATTGTACTCTCATAATGCGAACATCGAAAACGTATTCGCATTGCCTTCGCTCTCGGTGCTTAAAACCTTTCAAAACAAATTGAAAGTATTTAAATTTAAGCGTGCAGCACAAAAATTATGCAAATACTGACGCGATAAATATTGAACATGTAGCATTCCTGCGCGATCTATCAATCCATCAATATGGATCGCGATCCAAATATCGTGATAATTACTGACCGTGTGACAGGGCCCATTAGTTGTGTTTACTGCGCATGAACGAAAGACACAAGATCACGTAAGAACGCGACGTTGTATTTGTAACTGGTTTTGAGAAAAAAGTTTCCGAAAGCGGGTTCGTCAGCTGAGCGTTTGTTTACATCACAAGCACCACTATTTTACACTTTTATTCAAGTAAAGAAGAGTTAATTCAACATGACAACAGATTTCAAAGCATTTTGTTGCATCATTTTACCTAAATTGTGCGTTTAAAGTGGCTGACAATAATTTTGGCTAATTTTGGTTTTCGTTGTTTTCTTTGCTTTGTTTTCTTTTCGCTCGTTTTCCAGTGAAACAAGATGGCGTAGAACCCGCTAAAAAATCGACTTTTTTCACTCTCTTGTTCTTACGTGATCTTGTGTCTTTCGTTCATGTTTACTGCGCTGCTCCAGGTTACGCCAAGGTAGGAATGTTCGATATTTAAGAAAGTATCGATATCATGAATCTATTTAATTCATTGCATGTAAAATCGATATGGCGATATATTGGGCTGAACAATATCGATATCGGAAAAATCGATGTTGAAAATCCTACTCCCAATTGAATAGAATATTAGGCCGCCTAGCAACTCACTTAGGGCCGGTTGTTCAATGTCTGATTAGCACAAATCGGAGGTAGAAGCTCCGGTTAAGCACAACTACTGCTTCATCGATCACATGTTACATGCATGATGTCGAAATCGTCGATAGTGTAGTGGTAGTGATAACCAGACATTGAACAACCGGCCCTTAATTGTGTTACTTCCATCTTGTATATTTACTGAGGATTAAAACGGCATGCCGGTCGACTCAAGCGGTTGGTCAAACTTAAGTGATAAATAAATCACACAAGCTGCTGATTAAACCTACTTTAGTATTTTCCCATACACTTTTTTGTAGATGAAAAATAAATTTAAACTTAAATATCGATATTGCGGGTAAAGTATCGATCTCTTCGAATTATCGACCTTGGAATATCGATTCAAAAAATCGATTATCGTGCCATGAAATATCGATATTCAGAATAATCGATACGATATCGAACATTCCTACGCCAAGTAGGATAGCGGGTAAAAGGCCCTACGCCAAAGGCCTGGCGCCAATTGGAAATGCCAAGTGAATACAAGTCCTTCTCCACCTGGGAGCTACTCTGTAATGCGATGCGTAACGCAATGCAATGCGAAAATGAAATGCGATGCGAAAACTATTTGGCACTCTGTATTGCTATCGCATCGTTGACAATGTTGCTTCTTTTATTTTTGGTTTATTTCTTGCTAAGTTGGCAATAGTGAGCACAATTGTCAAAGAAAGAGAGATCAAAACAAAAAAAGTAACTAAAATTTGAAGAAGCAATTAAAATATTCGTTTTAAAAATGGACTCTGTGGAATTGTGGGACGATTCAAATGATGAAAGGATTGAGAGGAGAATTAGTACAGATAATTCCAACGTTATGAGCCTCAGCGATAAAAGGTGGGTGAGCTAAAATGCTTTTTTAAAATATACACCAAACTATGTTCTTGTTCTGGGCATTTAGTTTTGTGCAGAATTTTCGTCTGACTAAAGAGGCATTTTTAAATGTGCTAAATAATGTTAAAAATGAGCTAAAAGCTCCGCAAAGGTCCACCGCAATCCCCGAAATGATAAAGCTTTCCAGCAACTAAAGGTTTCTTGCTCAGGATGGGTACCAACACTTGATTGGTCAAGACCGTCATGCAGGGCTGGCACAGCAAACGGTTTCTAGTTGCATTTTTTAAGTTTACAAAGCGATCGAGAAGGTGCTGTGTCCAAAGCACATAGTATTTTCAATGACGAATGAGGAGAAATTAGATGCCAGCAGAAGTTTTTACTCCACATGTGGAATTCCGGGAGTGATTGGAGCGGTAGATGGAACGCACATTCAATTGATAAGGCCATCAAAAGATGAACATTTGGGGTGTTCACAGTTCGTTCCAAATAGTGTCTGAAAATGTAGACGTCTACATTTTAAGACGTTTTCTAACCGTAAAATCTGTGGTGTTGTTGTTTCCCATACAAAATTGGAAAACGACGCCGTCTACATTTTGTCACACTCAAAGGTATGTTTTTTACGCGTCTACATTTTGCAACCTCGCAGCAGGGTTGCATTATGGCAATACTAATCACATTTTTTTTATTTATTGGGCACGTTTTTTGTATTTGCATTTAATTTGAGTGCAATTTCTGATGAAAAGAAACAAATCAAGGAAAAGAAATAACAAATATTAGGAATTGGTAATTAAGTTAAATAATTACAATTTTTCAGAAAGAAAATCGAAAGGCGATATATAAAAAATGCACGCAAAGAGGAAATGTCTGGCAACACCAGCAAAGTTTTGAGACGATTTTGCGACGACTGCTAGAAAGGTGTGCTCACAGTTTGATGCTAAAGATGTCTCAAAATGTAGACGTCTACATTTTCAGACACAATTTGGAACGAACTGTGAACACCCCAATTTATTTTTCAATAGGAAGTTAAAGCACAGCATAAATGTAATGGTGGTAAGCGCGTTTTTCATTGAAATAAGTTAACTTTTACTTAACCAGTAAATTTGTTTCTACTTTAGATATGTGACCACAAATGCGTATTAGGGCTGTTAATGGTACATTTGGAGGTGCGTCGCACGATTCTCACATATGGAATTTATCAAACGAACGTGATTATATGAAAACGAACTACGAAAATGGAGATAACAATACACGAATCCTTGGTAAGTTTTTTGATATTGCACGTCAAAGTAGAAATCGTATGCATACAACTTCGATGTTGGTGCCATGAACTTGCAGCTGTATGCATACCAGTATAAATCAACCTTCACTTAACATGGGTGGTTTCTCAGAGATCTTCAATCAGAAATTGTCGAAGGGAAGGTCGATTATTGAAGGAGTTTTTGGTGTGTTGAAAGGATGATTTCGTTGTGTTTTAGCCGCAACACCCAATAAAAGTGGTGCAAATACTTAATGTATGTTGTGCTCTTCACAACATCTGTATTTTGTACAATGTGGAAACCCTCCCAATATCGAAATTGAACCAGAAGAAATATCCGCGGTTAATGTAAACAATATGGAAAATTATAGTTTTGGAAATATTGCTAGAAATATAAGAGATCAAATAAAAAATAATATGATTGCCACTGCAAATTTGATTTATTACAAAATTAAAAAAAAAACTTTTTTAAATATATATCGCTTCACTCTTTTATTAAAATGAGGTAAATAAAATATACCGACATAAAAAATCTAAAATAAATTCTCTAAACGTAATAATACTTCAATGTATAATGTATAAAAGTTATTCATGTTAACTATCTTTTTGAAAGTGCATTGTTGGTTTTTAATTCCACATCCAACATTTGCTTTTTAATTTCTAATTTGTTTACTTCAAGTCTCAATTTTTGTTTGTGGAGAAATTTTTCTTGAGCTGGACTCAACTTTTTCTTTTAAATTTTTGAATTTTTCTTCATTGTTTTGAATATTTTTTTCAAATTGCCATTAATTTCACCTAAAATATTGGTGGAGTTTTTTTTGATAAGTAATTTGGTTTTCCACTTGTTTTTCTAAAAGACTCCGCTTTTTGCGCGGAGTATGTACGACATTATTGCAAATAACTTCCTCATTTTCATGCAAGTTGGATTCAATAGAATCATTTGCATCACCTATAGACTCCACATGACATTCAATTGGTATTTCGGTCACGGTTTGCGCTATACCAAACTCCCTTGCGCCTGTTACACCGCTCACCGACTGTTCCATTGATAGTCACTCACTCACTTGCTGCTCCAATTGTGTGAGCTGGGTATAAGTAGAAGGTCCACCGTCTGTACCCGAAATATTTGTTTTGTTTCGACGCAGTTTGGCCTTCAAATGTAGTTTGTAGTCAGCCCAAAACTAAAAGATATTTAAATTACATTTTCAAAATAATTTTTGTATACATATTGCGCTGAAATTACTTTTTTCCAACCGACCATGTCGCGCATCGGTAGGCCAGCTGCATTTAGCTGCGAAGTAACTCGTTTCCATAGATTGGTGGACACGGTTTTAGCGTTTGGCGTCTTCATCAACCCCTTGGCCAATTCCGGATGAGTTACCATGAAATCTACGAGGATTTCGAATGGTTTTTTCTGCTTTTGTTTCGTTTTCGTACTTTCCCTATATATTTTTTATGAAATTTCAGCTATAAAAGTATACAATTTGCATTTTAAACTTACGTTTTTAAACGTTGCGAATGCTTCTCAGTTGTAGCAGTAAAAATGCGGATGAAACTACCGTTTGACACTCGCTATCGCAATACACAGTGCTGCCAATGCGAAAGGGAAACATAAAAGGCCTAAATTTTTACATTCGCATCGCATTACACAGTAGACCCCCTGGTCTTTCCAACTCAGTGGGGGCTTTCCTCTTCTTCTGTTACCAGCAGCGTCGGTGTCCATTCGAACGACATGACCAAGCCAGCGGAGCCGCTGTATTTTAGTCCATGTCCATGTCTAAGGAGATAGAAGTAATATCCTGGGAGAGCTATAACCCTGAGAGCTTAACAAGTTTACTTAGGCAGTGCGATTTCTCGAACTTAAGTTTTTTTGATGCTGACGGTATGCTGAAGTATATTACTCATTGCATTATGTGCTCCACGAGGCAGTTGACTTATGGGCCGTTTTTGCTTACGCGTAAAAGCACATTTAGAGCATTTAGCTCTAAATGCTACTCTAAATGTACATTTATCCATACAAAATTCGTCACCTAAATGTAACTAAATGCAACTCCATTTTTGCATTAAGAATCTAAATGCTAAAAGCAACCCTGTGACCTTCCAAAATTTCCACGATTCGAACGTGGTTTATTGAGAAAAAGTGGCAAAAGTTGCTTTTTCGCGTATACAGTGGCTAGCTGCGTTTCAGTGATCGCCGATCGAGATTTCATTTATTATTGTACATTATTTGTATAAAAAAAGTTACGCGAATTCAACATCGATGTGATGCTGATAGAAATATGGATCAATTTGTGATCAACTCTGTTCATTTTGTTTCCTAATTAAGTGAGGAAATTTTAATTGACAGCACCGACAAATGAATATATACACAAACAAATTTTCGGTTATGGTTAAAACAATTCAAGTTTTTGTATTGAATTTTTGGTTTACAATTTTTTTTCCTTTTCAGTAGGGTTTTTTACACATTATCTTTTCCGTGAAAATTGATCGTAATAGATACGGAATAAGCGACTGGAACACGGCTGTTTTGGAACTCGCGTAAATGTACATTTGCTAAATGCGATAGCATGAACGCTCTTTGAAGACATATGTTCGTAAGTGCTAAATGTTGCATTTTAAATGCAGCAAAAACGCCGCATTACTCAAATAATAACTCGCATTATGCAAAGGAATGGATAGGCCATTGACAGAGATGAACAAGTATAAATCTAATTTCCATGAGAAAGCAGTGTTGTCAGGGGTGAATATAATATAGTGAGAAGCAGGTATAAAAAAATGGTAATAAAAAATTAAATACCCCCCCCCCCCCCTTCTCTTTAATATATACAGAGTGTCCCAGAAGTAACCTGTCAAACTTTAAGGAATAGTTCCAGATAGTTGCTTCTCCATACGCAAATGCAATGTAGTTAAAATATATTAAGGAACCATCATTAAATTATGACTATTTTGGTATTTTTAACTTTTTGATATTTTCTTCCCCAACTTTGACTATCTCTGGTGAAAAAAAACGTAATGAGCAGGAGCAGGTAATAATGTACCTTTGTACTATTTAGCATGCCAAAGTTCTCTCAAACATTGTAAAATAAAACTCTTTGGGATGATGCCTTGTTAACGTACAGTGATAGGGAACTACCAAATTCGCTTGTCAAAATGCAAGATGATCTTGAATCTTTGTATCAATGGCTGTGTTCAAATAAACTCAAACTGAATGTGAAAAAGACTAACTTTATGGTATTTTCCAGAGCAAATGCTGACTCCATAAGCCGTGAATTAAAAATCAAAGATGAAAATATCGAAGAGGCGAAAAGTGTCAAGTACCTAGGAATATACATAGACAACAAACTAAAGTTTGATGGGCATTTTGAGTATACAGTCAACAAGATTGCTAAAAAAAATGGTCTTATAAAGAGATCGTTTAAGTACTTGGGAAGAAGATATAAAACATTGGTGTACAGGTCAATAGTAGAACCGCACTTTATATACTGCCCTACGATTTTCTTCCTAGCGGGGGACTCACATGTAGATAAGCTGCAAAAAATGCAAAACCGAGTGATGAGATTCATCCTCAACAAACCGTACGACACACCAACAAGATGTATGCTTGAAACCTTGAATTGGTTAAGCGTGAAGCAACAAGTTTTTTACGACGCTATTAAATTTGTGTACAATATTAAGAAGGGCAACCTGCCGGTTTATCTTAGCGATAATCTCCGATATATAAATGAGACCCATACATATTTGTTGAGGGAGAATAACAGCTTCATACTCCCGAAGTATAGAACGGAAGTGGACAAAAAAAATATTTTTTATAAGGGCTTAAACTGCTTTAATGAATTACCAGAGGCTATAAAAAATGTGATACTATCAGTCTTTTCAAGCGGCTGCTATATGACTATTGTAAAACGCAGCCTACAAGATAGTGATGTATCAACAATAGCCTTTAGGCCTTTTCAACCACCAAGATATCGAGACTAGGTGGATCGGAAACTCGGCCTTTCCGACTACCTAGAGTACATTAAAACCCTTAGATATTAAACAATAAATGAGCGGATTGGAAACTAGGCCTTTCCAACCGTCACGAAAGCATGACTGGGTGGACCGGAAACTCGGCCTTTTCGACCACCTAGGAGATATTAAGAAACGGAGTAACCCAAAAGTATAGCCCTACACACGCATTGATTTAATGGCCAACCAGTTGACCAACCCACTTAACGAAATTCCCTACAAACGCACCAACCAGTTGGCCGATTTCATTTGAGTGAGAGTTTTTGAACTGTGAAAAACACAACAGCACCGTTAAACTTTTAAGGTACACTAGGAATGCTTATCATTTTTATGTATTTATTATTGCTACCGGCCCCGTTTTTCACAAATTATACGCAGTTTCACCAGCGAAATGAACCGAAAACCACTTGTTAACGTTAATGCGTCTTTAAAAAATTAAATCGCATTTTAGGTTGCCAACTTGTCTACACACAGAGCAACAAGTTGACCAATCTTTCTCAAAAATCAAAAAATTTTGATTTTGGTCCAACCCGACGACAACTTGACGAAGGTTTGCCAACTTGCCTACAAACGGCTTACGCTAGGCGCACATTGCATCCGATAGGCCGACCGATTTCGGCGGAACAATTTGACAGTCCGAACTAATGCGCACACTTACCAGATTATTTGCCGACCGTATTTGTACACACAAATCTAGTTTTCATTACAATTTTGTAAGCAGTGAAATATTTTGATACATTTGAATTGACATACTCTAAATGTTGTGAACCAACCATTATAATCATTTACATTCATGTTGTGAACCAACCTTTATATTTTTGGCATTCACACTTGGACCATCTCTAACAAAAATATGTTTTTTAAACTATGTTCACATATAAATATTATCTCAATCAAAGCTCGTTTTTTAATCACCCCGTTTACACAGGCAAATCTCAGATTATTAGCCGTCAAATTTGTTGTGCTTGTTATTCTCACATCTCAAGGAAAATTTATGTTTCTTCTCCGTGCCACCGTGATCACGTTTCTCTGCTATAATAAGCAATATAAATATATNTTGTTTTTTCTTTGGAAAATGGATTAAAGCTATTGTGACGCACGGTGCAGCGAACAAAGATGGCGCCGTCAGTGGTACCGCTTCTTTGGTTTTGCCGATTTTGATAGTTGTGGTAACTTGTAAATTTGAATTGTAAGTGAAAAATCAGTTTCAATTGTGTTAATTTGCAATTTGTGAGTGATTTTTGAGTTGAAGATTGCGTAAAAACTAATAAAATGAAGTGCGGCGTGTTAAATTGCGACAGCCATGAAGATACAAGATGCGTAGATGCAAGTGTAGGGCTGGGACGAATCGCTGCATTTTGTGTACATAGGGCACGCCAAAGCCCTTCCCGAAATGTTTCTTTATTATTACATTAACAGCATTTCCTCACAATGATTTTGCTTCTGCTCCAAGCAGCCTCCATTAGCAAGTTAACTAATCAATGCCGCAATGGAGTGCACTAAAATGTTACCTATTCTCTAATAGATTAGGTAAAAATGCAATATTTTCGCATTTAGCAAAATTAAAACTCGTTTTTCGCTGTAAAGGGAACTGTTTTGGCAGTTTCAACTCGTTCTTCTTTTCGCTCTATTCTTTGTTTACTTGTGGTACACAAATGTCAACGCCCAGGACGGCGCAATCTTGTATTCTATCATTCTTGATTGTGACGCAGCTTTTAGTTTGAAAACTTGCCCCAAATAATTACCAGTCTCATCTAAACATGCATGGATCCCAGTCATAACCCGAACATGTATCTCGATTGTGACGTGAGTGCACGTGTGTGTGTAAGGTCCCAGCAAAACCTCCGTGACCGAAACTCTAATACCATTACAAATTTTTATTGTCACTAACACACTAGAACTTTCAATTGATTCCAATTCGAATTTTTTTATTGTTGTGCGTGAATTGTGCAAGTACTCTAGCTAATTAGACTCATATATATTTTTTCGCTCATGCTTCAGTGAAAATAGAAAAATTCGTATTTTGTTTGAAAAAAAAAACAAAAAACAAAGCAACCCGGGTGCCAAATGTCAAATGATTATTATAATTTATATTGTGCAAGCGACTTTGAATTTGCGCGAATTGTTTACAAAAATTTCTATTGATTAATATCAAAATAAAATAAAATTATTATTTGTTTACTGTTTTCACTGTGCTGTAGTGCGAAGTTTTGGCTGTTTAAAGTAAGGTAAGTAAAGCAATGAACAAAAAAACATTTGCCAATTTAATGAGCCGCGAAAATAGTGAGTGGCGGTCAAGTGCGGCAAAATTTGCCAGAATGCTTGGTGTTACTGACGTCACGCGTCATAATGGCGAAATTGTGTTGGAAGACTGTAGCTCAGACTGCTCCGATGAGTCGGTTCTCATCAGTGAAGACAGTTATACTGCACCTGAAATTGATACGGTCGAAAGTGATTGTGCGCTTGAAATTAAAAAATGGGCTATAGAATGTAGGGTGTCCCATAATGTAGTTACCTTGCTATTTCAAGCGCTTACGAGAGGGGGTGTTAAAAATTTGCCCCTTTCGGCTAAAACTCTTTTTAATACGAGTAACAAAAAAGTAATTATTCAGTCCATCCCCTGTGGAAAATTTTTATACCGCGGAATACAACACCATTTTAAAACAGACGCGTTTCCATTTCTCAAAGATAAGGATGAAGTAAAAATAGATGTAGGAATTGACGGTCTTAAATTGTATAAAAGTTCGAGTAAAGTTTTATGGCCTATCCTTGGAGCCATTGTTGGCTTTCCGAATGAGTTCCCTTTCACTATAGCATGTTTTTCTGAGACGCAAAAACCATGGAACGTTAATGGTTTTTTGAGTAATTTTTGTGATGAAGTGGTTAATTTAAAAGAAAACGGACTTAAAGTTGGTTCAGATCCCGTAAAGAAAAAATTTGATATCCGGTTGTTTTGCTGTGATACACCTGCTCGTGCTTTTGTCACAGGTGTACAATCACATAATGGTAAAAATCAGGGACGTGAACCGGATGATAAATTTGGTCGGTTCGGTACAGCGGTTCGAACCGTTTTTGCACTTTTGGATTGGTTCGTCAAAGCGGTCTTTTTGGTCTTTGAACCGGGGTTTCGGTTCGGTTCAACGGTTCGAAAAACAAAAAACTAACGCGCAAGTTTAAGTGTCAAGTGTAAAGTGCAACAACGCGCAAGGTTAAGGGTCAAGTGCCTGTCAAATGAGATGGGTTGCCTTTACATCTGATATTGTCACATGGTAAACAAACATGGTAGCTATTACCATGTTTAACAAAAAGAAAAAAAATTGGTATATTTATCTATTGAAAATTGGTTGAAACGAACCTTTAAACCTTTATGGAAAGTGGTTCGGTTTCGGTTCGGATCAAACATTTGTGGAAATTTTCGGTTCGGTTAATGGTTCAGTTAATTAATAGAAAAAATCGGTTTTCCGGTTCAAAACCGGTTCGGTTCAAAACCGGTTCACGTCCCTGGTAAATATAGCTGCACAAATGTGACCAAGTAGGAAATTATGTAAATAAAAGAACTTGCTTTTAAAAAAAAATTCATAGTCTTCGATCTGATTTTTCTTTTAAATGTAGAACAGATCCGGCACATCATATTTGCACTTTTAGAACTTGCGAAAATGTTTTAGAAAAAGCTGGTTTTAAAATGGTGTCGCAGTTTCCGCTTGATCCAATGCACCTAGTCGATCTTGGTGTAACAAAAAATTGATTCAGTTACTAATGAAGAGCGCTAACGTTACAAAAATTAATGAAAAAATTAATTTTTTGACAAAATTCGTCCCCACAGAGTTTGGTCGTGTGTGCAGGGACTTCAATGAAATCAGCAACTGGAAGTCAACTGAATATAGACAATTTTTATTGTATATAGGAATATTCGTTTTAAAAGACTGTGTTAGCAGTGATCCTTACTTTCATTTCCTCTTATTGTACACAGGAATACGGTTGTTATCAAGCCAAAAGTCATTGGAAGCTGAAAGCAACGTTGCCCAAAATATTTTGCAGGATTTTGTTAATATGTTTGGACAAATTTATGGTGACTATTTAGTAAGTTATAAAGTGCATGGCTTGTTGCACTTAACAGATTGTGCTAGGCAGTATGGAACGTTGAATAGTTTTTCTGCATACAAGTTTGAAAACTATATGCAATATTTAAAAAAAATTGTTAAAAAGCCGAACCAAATTCTTGAACAAATTTACCTAAGACTAGAAGAAAAAAATGAAGTCATAACAAACAGTAATGTTTCAAAATTTGGTACTTTTAAAATTGACCACAACAAAGAAAAAGATTCCTATTGCTTCAGCCGAAAAACAGGTCCCGTCAAAATAATAGGCATTGAGGAAGCTGCAGGTCGTGGTTATTTCATAGGATACACATTTGAAAAATTAGAAAATTATTTTGTTGAGCCAGTACAATCTTCTCCTGCGCTAGGTATAATACTAGGTGTTCAATTAGGAGCTACACTATTAAAAATACCAAAAGAAGACGTTGAATACAAATACTTTTGTATTCCCCATGAAGGCAAATATTTACTCATTCCACTTTTGCATCACCTTTTTCATGATTTTCAAATTTAATTTTAAATAATAAGAATTTGATACTGCTGTTTTTATATTTTATTTCAGATATGGAGTTTTTATTTCAAGAGGAGAGTATAGGCACTCAGGGTCAGCAATCAGCTGGAAAAAAGGTATTTGTTATGTATAGTTTTAATTTTCACCTATAATTAAACGATTCTCTTTTCTGCAGGGATGGAGGAATTGCTGAAAAAATATTAAAAAATCAAGATAAAATATTAGAGAACCAGAGGGCAGGTATCGACCGTTTGGATGCTTTGGATAAGCGGTAAATAATATAGAAAGCTCCTGCAGAGAAAATGTTCGTATTTAACTCATCCCCAACCTCATCACACCCATACATTTTTCCACGCATATTTTCCATATGCAAAAACACAGTGAACACTATACTGTAAAATATGATCCAAATTGAATACTAAAAATAAATAATTAAAAACTAAACATTATATTCAACAATTTTTATTGAGCTCGAGGCCGTTTTTTAAGCGAAAATTTATTGTGGAAAAGCAACAATAATTTGAAAAAATGGTAGAAGTGATAGCTATTTCGGAAATCACCACATTTCCTCATCAGACTTCTTTCAGTAGGATTCGAACCGACGATCCCACTGACTCAGCCAGTTGCCTATGCACCGTGCTAAGTACGCCTTGTAAAATATTGTTTGCTTTTTTCCAGTATTTTCATTTTTAACCGACTTCCAAAAAAGGAGGAGGTTATCAGTTCGTCGGAATATTTTTTTTTTTTGTTTTTTTTTTATGTATGTTCCTAATTCCTTTTTTGTTGAATATAATTGTTATAAGGCCAAAAAAATAACAAAAACAAATAACTTAAGGACGAGCACACCTAAAAGTTAAACATTCTAAAAATAGAATTAGCAAAAAACCAACAATACCAACAACCACATGATCAAGTGAATTGCAGCGGAATAGCTGCACTTGATTGTGTTGGCATAACAAGAATGAAAATAGTGGAAAAAAGCAACCGATAATTTACAAGGCGTACTTAGCACGGTGCATAGGCAACTGGCGCAGTCAGTGGGATCGTCGGTTCGAAGCCTAATGAAAGAAGTCTGATGAGGAAATGTGGTGATTTCCGAAATAACTATCACTTCTACCATTTTTTCAANGCTTTTCCACAATAAATTTTCATTTAAAAACGGCCTCGAGCTCAATAAAAATTGTTGAATATAATTGTTATAAGGCCAAAAAAATAACAAAAACTAAAAACTAAAAATCAAAAATAAAAACTAAAAATTAAAAACCACACTGCCGTATAATTATGTTAAGTACTTTCAGAAAATCGAAGCCAGTGAGCGTGATTCGTGAGTGCAAAGTCATACTCCGAAGAATACAAAGTTCCGTTTGAAAAATTACCGGGGAGGAAGTAGATCCACTTCAAACAAAAATCGCGGCAACACTGCCTTTTCAGACGTTGGCTGCAGCTAAGGAGTTTGAAATAAATCTGCTGCAACAAGATTATATCGAGGCAAGGTGAGTAAAATGTGATCAATGTAACTACTTTTTATGTGAACTAATAACAAATTTGTGTATTTTTAGAAAACTTTTCTTTTACGGCTGTAGGGTCAAGACAGCACTGTTGACGATTTGTTCCGTCAGCTTTTCAACGACGATTTTCTATCCCTTTGCAACTGGGATGGCAGAGGTAACAAGCAGGCGCTGTCCCAGCTTTCTTGTGTGTCGGAAATTTTGTATGGTAAGTAATTTGAATATGCCTATATTTCCACTGATTCTTCAATTTCGTGTCTGTATATCCTTACCAGATGTTTTCCAGCTAAATGGACGGGCTGCTTACGAAAAAAACATTCGTAAGTCTGTTGACCTTAGTCAACAACCGATTTAAGCAGCGAAACTACCGGCAGAGAAACACCTCAAAGGTGGGAAATATAAATATAAGTAATACCTCAATATAAACAATAAGTATATACTTGTTGTAATAAGTAAATATATACATACATATGTATATCTATGGACACAGAAATGGCACAAAAATGTTAAGATAACTTACAGCCATGGTTTCTGAAAATATATTTTGTTAATTTTAGGAAAAACTTAAATGAATTCTATAACGAAAACCATGTAAAATAGTTTTAAAATAGTCTTCGAACGTTTTTGAAAATTCGAGAAAATTTTCGAAACGTTCATAAAAATTTCAAGATTTCAGAAAACTCAGAATTTTCAGAAAATTTTTGATTATGTAGTTTTGTAGCCCAATCAATTTTAGTCTTTCAAAGTGCAAACGTGAAGCCTCTCCAAATTCGCGTTGATTTTTGATATTTTTTTATGTGTTTGAGATTTTCTTCCATACAAAAATTAGATTTCGCAAAATTTATGTGGAAGAAAAAATAAAATACCTTTCAGAAAAAAAATTTAAAAAATCAACACAAATCTTGGGAGACTTTAGGTTTGCACTTTGTTAGACAAAAATAAATCGGCCTACAAAACTGCATACCAAAAAATTTTCTGAAAATTCTGAGAAAAAACTTTAAAATTTTGATATTTTTTTTGTTTCTGTAATTTACTAATTTTTATTTTTTTTTAACTATTTCACATGGTTTTCGTTATAGAATTCAATTAAGTTTTTCCTAAAATTATCTAAAAATTTTTTTTTTATAAAACATGGTTGTAAATTGTTTCAAAATTTTTGTGCCATTTCTGTCTCCACGGGTGTATATAAATGCCAAAGTATGAATATTAACAGTAGGTATTTAACTATATAATGTATTGAAATTTCATATTATATTGAATTTAGCTTTAGAACTCTAACAAAGGCATTTTAAATGGTTATTGTTAGTGCTCCAACGCTACTATAGAATAAAAGTAAAAAAAATGTTGAAATAAGACAAAATTTGGTGTGCTGCAGTTGTTAAACGCCTAGTGTTAACATTTTCGTTTTTATATTCTTTTATATAAATAACAAAACAGTCAAAAATTTAAATTATTATTAACTAAAATAATCAACTTAGTTTGAACACAAATTTTTTTCGATTTTACATCTCTTCTTTCATACTAATAACATAATAATGTAAAATGTATGTAGGCTACTATTAACTTAGTTTTTGATTTCAATTGTTAACTTTTGGTTTCATTATATGCTGCTAAATAATTTTGGATATATGAATTTAATAAAGTTTTATTTATTTAAATATAAATTATATACATAAATAATAAAATGTATATAAAGCCCTATTCTGCATTTCGATTACGTTCCCGAATTCCGCTCCGCTGGAATCGAACTTAGGTATTCTGCTTTACGATCGAAACGAAAGAAGAAGAGGAAGACAGAAAACATCTTTCGAAATTAGCTGTTTGCCTAGGAATGTGTGAAATCGAAACAAAACAAAGAAATATTTGCCACCAAACTATAGCAGCATATGAAGTTAAAGTTTTTAAATATTTTAAAATAACTAAATATACCTATATAACTATATATCACTGTAATTTAAAAATAAAATTTAAGTGGATACATAATTATAAGAA